TGGAGAAGGCAATGGCTACCCACTCCAGTATTCTGGCCTGGAGAACTCCAAAGAGTCGGACACGACTGAGCAAAAAGTCCTGCAGTGAAGACATCTAACTTCACACTACACACTATTTACCAAAGGTATTTGATGTATTTGACAATGACCTTTCCCAACTTCTTTGTTTTTCAGTGAGTATTTGTGAGTGCCAGAGCTGTGAAACACAGATCATAGAGTTCAGTGGCTTGTCCAAAAACACATCTGGCTGGAGCCAGAGAAGGTGCTAGGTTTCATGAATCCAGCACAAACCAACCTCAGAGGTCTCTGGGTGAAATCATTGGTTTAGAGTCTTCCACTGGACTTTTAATTTTTCCTATGCATCCTCAAATCACACATTTCCATGTTGCTCTCAAAAGGCTTATGTTGGGTTCTGAGCTCACTATTAACAATCCCTGTTGTTGATGTTGTTTAGTCACTAAGTTGTGTCTGACTCTTGAATCCTCAAGGACTGTAGCCCACCAAGGCTCCTCTGTCCATGGGATTTCCCAGGCAAGCACAGTGCATTGCCATTTCCTCCTCCAGGGGATCTTCCCAACCCGGGAACTGAATCCACATCTCCTGCATTTGCAGGTGGATTCTTTCCCACTGAGCCACCAGGACAGCCAAACAATCCCTGACTTTGGTAAATAATAATAAAAAAGAGGAATTCCCCCAGAAGAAGGCTCTCCCACTGTTTGTAAGCCACCCCCCCCAATTCACCATATTTCACCAGCAGGGTGGCTCAACAATCTCAAACTGGTATTTCTCTTTTCTCTTACCAAAACTATGTCCTAAAATGGAGAGTGCAGGAAAGAGAAATGAATTTGGGAAAAACATAAGGCCATCAAATCAGACATTAGGAGGAAAATAATATTTAACAATTTGTAGAGCACTTAGGTTGTGCCAGTGCTGTTCTGAATATTTCACACACATTCACTCATTTAATCATCGCAGCACCTCACATGTGGGTACAATTTGTATCCCCATTTTACAGGGAAAGAAACCGAGGTACCAAGAAGTCACAAGGCTCAAAGTCACACGCTGGCACACAGGGAACAACTGGGAAGTGAGCTCAGCCTGACTTCAGGGTTACTGCCTTTAACGCTCATGTTACAGAAGCAACGAGAGAAATAATAAAAGTATGCCCAGTCTTGAAGGACTTCATCTGATTGCTCATGGCCATTGTGTGTAGTCCCCCAACAGCACCCTGGGCTCACCGCTCTTGCTATGATGCTGGTCCCATAGGTAAGGGAAGGGATGCCTGGAGAAGCCAAGCACCTCACCCAGGTCCCGCCGCGGGACACTGTGCTGACTGCAGCTGGGTCCAGGGCTCTTGACCCCTCGGGGGCACCAGCAAGTTCTTACAACACACTCTCAAGATGTTTCTTTGTTTGTTTGTTTTTTCTTCTCTTTTTAATCTTTGTGGCCGTTTCCATGAACAGCAGTGTTTTAGAAGGAGAAGCAGAAATGGAACAACAACAAAAAATCAAACTCATAGGAAATACATTTCAGCTACAAAAAACCCTGGGTGAACTTAAAAAAGAAAATAAACAACCATGAAAAGGCTACAGGGGCTGTGAACTTTTCTTTTCTACGTTTACTGTACATTTGGCAGCAGGGCAATGCTATATTAGCAGATACAGATCTCCAACCAGGGCCATGGGGGGCAGGGGGAATGGTTCTGCTGAAGTTTCTGGAAGTTTCTGAGATGGGGTAGAAGACCCAGCTGGAGGCATTTTTAATGCTTTCCTAATGTTTACCCTACACAAGTCACACTGCTGCTATTGTGCCTCAGTTTACCCATTTGTAAATGATGGAGTGGTCCCCACTCAGGGACTTATTTTTGCTTCTATAAAATGATGATTTTAATTCTTAGAAAAGAAAAGGACTCAGCTCAGCTTCTGAATATGGACCAATCTGACTCCAAGTTGATGCTTTCAGGCCCAAAACTCAATCTCTCTCCCTTCCTCTTTCAAAAACGCTATGCTTAACCAACATCTTCCATTCTGAAAGGCACATAGAGTATCGGAGAGTTTATTTCTCCTCTGGAACAACTTGAAAAAAAAAGTTAATAGGAAGCACATGGGCACGGCGTGTGAGCCTTCTGTGTGTTTGCGTTTGGAAAAAAAATACTTAAGGAGGACGATGTCAGGCTTGCAAAATGCCTGGGCTGTCTCAAGAGCAGTTTATGGCCATTAGCATCAGACTGAAGGCAGTTAATTGGGATAAAGTCCAGCTGGCATCTGGGCCATGAAGACGATAAGAAAATAACCTGGACTATTCCCATGGTCCAGTGGGAGTGGATCAGGAGATGTTTTTCTATTTGTGAGGGCTGATGGGGGTGGGGTCTGGGCCAGGGCTCATCCACGGAGATTGGTCTAGAAAGATCTATGAGCGTGTGGAAGGCAGACTGGTGTTGGGGTTATGTGCCTGGGCTCTGGAGGGGAACTGCCTGGCTTGAAACCCCACTGCCACAGCCAGCTGACCTTGGGCAAGCCAGTTTACCATGCTGTGCCCTGGTTTTTCCACCTGTAAGATGGGGATATGACAGAACCTACGTCACAAGGCTGCTGGGAAGATCAAGGGGAATGGTGTATACGCAGAACGAGGGCAGCGTCCAGAGTCGGAAGGAGCCTGGGAAACAGCACTTGCAAGGGAACAGCACAGGCTCCGGAATTCTACTCTGAATCCCAGCTCTCATCACTTCCTGGCCCCTGATCCTTGGGCAAGCCACTTCCTCATGTTCATTGTGTTTAAAGTGGTATTGATGGAGCCCGCCTCCTGTAACTTCTGTAAGGACCAGAGAAGAAATAACACATTCTCTATGTCCCAGTACAGGGGTGCCTCCTGCTTCACTTTCCAGTCTCATATCCCTTTCTCACTACCCCCAGATTCAAGTCTCCACTGGAGTCTCCAACACTGCGAGCCTTTTCCTGCCTCCAGACCTTTGCTCCAGCTGGTCCTTTTGTGTCTGGGCTGTCCACTCTCCAGCTACTCACAGGCTGGTTCCTTTCCATCACCCCGGCCTCCTGACCATCTGGGCAATGTCCATCACCACTCCCTTCATCAAGGCCCATCACAGCACCCTGTTTGGTCCTTCATGTGATTTAGCACAGTCTGTCAAGATCAATTTACATAATTGCTCATTGTCTGTCTCCTTAGAAGCCCTGAGGCGGTCATGTCCATTTCTGTTGGAAAAGCTGAAAAGAAACTGGTTAAGATGGTTAAGACTGACCCCAGTGTAAGTTCAAGTTCAGGGTCTTCACGAGCCTTTATGATCAGGATTGTGCTACTGTTTACTACCCACTTGAAGATAGGTCCCAGCATGTTATGCCCTTCCGTGGGACTCAGAACAGGCCCCCAGGGAGACAGAGGTGCCAACAGGAGCAGAGGAGGTAGGAGGGACCACAGCGAAGAGCAGGCTTTGAGTCAGGTTTGCGGCTGGGAATCCATCAGACCCCCAAGACACGTCATGCAACCTGTTTCTCACTGCACTTGCAGTAAAATCTAAGCTCCTTGCCCTGATGCCAATCCCTCTATGACTCAGTTCTGTCTCCAATAAAATGTGGATAATACCAGAACCAACACTTTGTGGAGTGTCATGAAGGTTGTATGAGGTGATTTGCTAGTTTGCGTGGCATGTGGTGAGTGCTAGGTTAATGTTAGCTGATGGTGTCATCAACAAATTCCACTGCAAATCTTTACATGGATGCTCTTCCAAGGTCTGGGCATTAATGCTCATCACCTCCTTTCTCTTACATACCCCTAAGACCATTTGCTGTCTCTTCATAATGCCTTTTCCTGAAAGGATGCCCTTGACATCCATTTAAATTGTCTCCTAATTAAAAAGACAAAGCAGCAAAACTTGCAAATATTTTTTTTCAAAGAAATGTAGCGTCACGCATTAGCCCACCACCTCGTCCTTACTCTTTCAACTTTGCACATTACTTTTCAGGCTCTTGGTGGTCATTCTTACCAGCTTTCATGAAGGAAAAAGAGAATACCAGGGTGAGGATGCCCAAAATTACTGCCACCAGCCCTCCACTCCATGTATCAGCTCCAACACATTCCCTACGGGGCACCGGAGAAGGGAAGGGGCCTTTAGATGATGACAAGTGCAGGTGGGAACAGGAGAATGCAGCAGGCCAGTTCCTTAGGGTGCGTGGGGTTGGTGGGAGTTACACGGGAGTTTCTTCCCTTTCTAAGGCTGCCCAATGGGGATACGGAGCCTGGAACCTCCTGCCCGGAATAACAACGCCTTTACCTCCTGTCCAGTATCCCAACACCCATCACTTCTCTGAGTCTACCATGGTATCACCTGTCCCATCACACTTCAAATCAAAGCCAACACCTCCCCTTTGCCCTCAAGGCCCTGCATGATTTAGCCTTGCTAATCATAACCCTCAAGACTCTCTCCTCTTATACCCCCCCAATCCTGCTCCAGCCCCACCGGCCCCTATTCTGTGCCCCAAACACATTAAGACACTCCCCACCGCCCCGGCCCCCACAGAGATTTTGCACAGGCTGTTCCTTCTGCTGGGAATGCTCTTCCCCCCTGGTCTGCGCAGGGCCAGTTCTGCCTCATACTTAGGCCTCTGTCCAATGTCACATCTTCTAAGAGCCTTCCTTGATGACTCTATAAAAGTTACCTTTCTCGCCTCTCCAGACCCCTCAACTATTCATCACTCTCCGTCCCAACACCACATTTACTGGCTTCATTGCATTTAACCCCTTCTGAAATTAGCCATTTGCTATTTGCTGCCTTGTTTAATTGTCAGTCTCTCCCTCCTGCCCTTGTAATCGCCATGAGGGCAGGAGTCGTTATCTCTTCTGCCCACCAGTGCATCTCTGCTACTTGAGATAGGTCCTGGCACATAGTAGGTACTCAATAAAGCTGCTGAATAAACAAACAAGCGACTAGACACCGGACTCGGGCAGTGCCTTAGAGACGGCAGGGAGGGGCGCAGCACTACACTCACCATGCATTTGGTAGGTGTACGGGCTCTGTCCAGCGGGTGGGGTGCTGAAGCTGGAGCCATAGCTGAGGAACCCACTCTGGCCGGGGGAATGGTTCAAGCTGTCTTCTGTCTTGATGCCTTGGAAGGGGGAAAGAGAAGTACCAGGCACACACAATTAGGATGCTTCCTTGTCACCTGCAGAAGAGCTACAGAATCAAGACAGCATGTGGTTTTATCAGCTTCCAAACTGGTTGCAAACTGGTGGTTTCTGAGCGGAAGTTACTCTACTTCAGCTGTAATTCAGTCCCACATGTCCTTCTTGGCCTGTGTATTTTACAGGAAAACCTGAAATTGGTTGCTTTTGTTTAAAAATCAGGAGATTTCACCCCCAAAGTCTAGACTTACAGCCTCTCTCGAGCAACAGGATGATCTAGAAACCTCATGGCCGTGTTCCCACATGACAATAGGCTGTCTCCAGAAGCTCCCCAATTTGTGTTCCCAGGTCACCATGGTTCCCATACTGTCTCTGAGACATGGAGGTTGGTTTTTAAGGTGCTATTTTTCACCACAGTTTTTTTTGGGTGTTTTTGTTTGTTTTTACATCCTAGGACATGTTCAAAAGTGAGAAAGGGAAAGGCAGGCTGTGTGGATCTCATCTTTTGCACGTGTGGTCAGCTTCCTGCCTGGCTCTGAGGGTAATGAGCCCCCTACCCCAAGGACTGAGGCTTCCAAGGTGGCTCAGCGGTAAAGAGTCCATCTGTCAATGAAGAAGCTGGAGGAAACACAGGTTTGATCCCTAGGTCGGGAAGATACTCCAGAGGAAGACATGGCAACTCACTCCAGTATTATTGCCGGGATAATCCCGTGGACAGAGGAGCCTGGCAGGCTACAGTCCATGGGGTCGCAAAGAGTTGGACATGGCTGAGTGACTAAGCATGTACTCCAAGGACTAGCTCCATGTATGGCTTAAAAGTCCATCAACTTTAACGAACCATTTTCCCTCTGTAAAGATGATGCCACTTAATCTTAGGACATACTCTCCACTCTTCTCATGGAAGGGCCTACTTATCCAAAAGGCTACAGTTACAAATCTGCCTTCTGCTTCAGCCAAACTCTGACATGCTTCCCCAAGGCACGGGCACCCATTCCAAGAGCAGCTGGCTGGAGAAGGAACTGTACTGAGGGAGGAAGCTGATCTATCATCAGTAGCCCATATGTTGTATTTTTATTGAACACGTAGTCAATTTTGCTTATCGTTATCTTATAGGTATAAAATAGTATTTCAATACTACTTAAATTTGCATTTTTAAAAAAGGACACTGCTAGTTCTGGGGATGGTTTTGTAGTTATGATTTCCCTCCTTCTCACCCATTTACCCCCATAAATAAAGAGAATGCTTAATGTGGTAAAAACAATGGATTCTGACTCAAGTGGTCTGGGCAGGAGCCAGGGTGGTTTGCTTCATTACTTGGTGACCTGGACAGTTTCTCCTCCAACCCCCGCCTGGAAGTCTCCTCCCTTATGAAATAAGATGCCGATTCCCACTGGCAGGATTGCTGGGAGATGAAAAGAAAGGGAATGAATGAATATCTAAAGCTGTGAATGAGGTACTCACAACAATCCCATGAAATAGGCAATATGACTTTCCCCATCTTATTTTATTGTTTTTTTGTTTTTTTTTTTTGGCCAAACTGAGAGGCAGGCATATGGGAAGTTAGTTCCCAGACCAGGAATCGAACCTGCGCCCCCTGCAGTGCAAGCATGGTATCTTAACCACTGGACCACCAGGGAAGTTTCTCCCCATTTTAAAGATGTGGAAACTAAGGTTCAGAAAACCAGGCCACTTAATCAGAGTCTTGTGATTAGCACGTAACTCTGAAGTCTAAGTTTTCTTTGCTTTCTCTTGATGCTGCTCAGTAATGGGTGTGAAGGGATTTTATGCAATAGATGGTGCACGACTTCACTGACAATTATGACAGCAACTTGGCAAATTGTTTGGTGCTGGAGCCTAGCTGTCCCCTGTCTTGGCTTTCAACATGACTTCCTCCCTAAGTTTAATCATTTTTGGCATTTTTAAAATTTAAAGTGAGAGACGTGTGACTCTTATTTTTCACTTGAACACTTTGAAGCCACCGAAGGGTTATTAATTGACCTAATTTCATATTGTTGTGTGTCAGGGAACAGGGAAGTCTGTGGAGAGGGAAAGAGACGAGGGAACGGCCAGTTGGTGGGCAGTCAGGACACACAACATTCACTGGCGAAATCTGCCATCGTATATGGGCTGTTTCATGGAGCCCCCAAGCGATTACAATAACACCAAAGATCACTGATGACAGATTACCATAGCAAACATAGTAATGATGCAAAAGTCCAAAACAGTGCCAATATGTAACAGAGACATGAAGTGAGCAAGTGTTGTAAAAATGGCCTTGACAGACTTGCTCGAAGCATGGATGCCACAACCCTTCAATTTGTAAAAAAGAAAAAACAAACAAAAAACAAACTGCAATATCTGTGAATTGTAAGATAGAAAAATGCAATAAAACAAGGCATGCCTGTATACCCATTCATTTATGTATTATCTGTGGCTGTTTTCAAGATACAGGGTAGTGTTGAGTAGACACCATATGGTGTCTTTGATAGACACCGTATGGCCTACAAAGCTAAAAATACTTATTATCAGGCTCTTTACAGAAAAAGTTTGCCAACCTCTACTCTGCATAAGGCCTTCCCAGGTGACACTGTGGTAAAGAATTCACCTGCCAATGCAGGAGACACAGGTTTGATCCCTGGGTTGGGAAGGTCCCCTGGAGAAGGAAACAGTAACCCGCTCCAGCATTGTCTGGAAAATCCCATGGACAGAGGAGCCTGGCGGGCTACAGGGCATGGGGTCACAAAACAGTTGAACATGACTAAGCACATGCAGCATTCCACATAAAGAAAGGCAGAGCAATGATATTAATAAAGTGGAAGTGATAGTAATTAGCAAATCCAGGGATGTGGGTATCTGACAAGAAAGGGAGATAACCTCCCTTTATTTTTCATATTGGATGGTCAGCTCATGGTTATTTGTAGTGCTACTCTTTTACATATGTCTTAAATGTTGCATAACATTATGTTTGCATAACAAATCGAGGAAAAAAATACTCCACACTCCTGACCTCCTTGCCTCTAGTCTGCTCAACTGTGTTATTATTTCCCTGCAGCTATTTAAACAAAGGTAATAATGCTATTTGCCAAGGAGCAAGGAGAAAAATTTCCTAACAAGATTCAGCAAGGTTTGTCCAGACAGTGAGCAAACACTGCTTGCTCGGGCACAGGCAGTTGTGAAAGGAAAGGGCTTTTCAGCCCACCTGTCACTATTCAGTGATATGGACACACCAGGCAGCCTGGCCTCTACTATATTAATTGAACGTTTCCCTTGGGCCAGGCCCTGTGAGCTAAGCCCTTAATGTAGATTAAGGGCTGACACATTGTGGTCCATGGACCCACTGTGGCCCACTGTTTGTTTGTGTAAATAAAGCTTTATTAGAACACAGACACACGCATTAGTTTACATATTGTCTGGCTGGTTTCAAGCTCCAAAGGCAGTGCTGAGTGGCTGTGACAGAGACTGTATGGGCCCAGAAAGCTGAAAATACTTATGAACTGGCCTTTTAAAGAAAAAGGTAGCTGATCCTGGATGTAGATGATCCCATTTACAGCAACAACAACGGTTAGGAAGCCAGACTTAGTAGCACTCCCATCGTATGAAGGTGACTCGCCCTGGGTCTTAGGACCAGCAAGGGTGCAGAGGTGGGGTGTGAACCCAGGGCATGTGACCTTGCCACGTATGCTGTATTCTGAGGGCAGAGAGCCTCTGAAAGGAACTGAGACTAACAAATGACTTTAGACCAAATTAATTTCCACCGGATGCCATGTTTTGTCTGGAAGCAGGGCTAGGGTTCTCTTTTATGCTGAAAAATAATCCAGCTTCATGTGTCTTGGCTGTCAGCCAGCCAGGGTGACTCACCTGTGATTTTATCACCGTCTTCTGGCAGAGGAGGGACAGAAGTTAGAAAAGATGCCCACACCAGTTGGCTCAGGTCCATCACAGGTAATCCCCCAGGATATCTGGAATGCGTGCTCAGGCAGCAGAGTTCAGCGGTGAGGGGCCTGGACCCCAGAGCCCAGGCTTCTGGGTGTAACTCCACCTCTACCAGCGACCAACTGGGGGACCCTGGGCGAGTTATTTATCTTCTCTGAGCCTCTATTTATTTATCCCTTGAATGAGGATAATGGTCGGACCTTTCTTGGAGAGTTGAGTGGGGGTTTAAAAGAATGAGTGGATACAGAGCGCTGAGAACTGTGGGTGGCAGCATCTCAGTGATAGAGCATCTCTAAGATGCAGCATCTCAGTGATGGTGTCTCTGACGGATGCCCGACCCCATGTCCCATGACTTGTCACTCCTAACGCCACAACTGTTCTTGAATATGTCTATCTCTGTCTGTCTACTGTCCCGAGCAGGCTTCTACCATCTCTCCACTCCAGGCTTCATCAGCCTCCCAACCTGCCTTCCTGTTTCTTCTCTTGCTTCTCTCCAATCCGATCTCCCCAGAGCAGCCAAAGTGATCTTTTTTTTTAAAGATACATTTATTTACTTCTTGGCTGCGGTGGGTCTCTGTGGCTGCACGCAGGCTTTCTGAAATGGTGGCAGGCAGGGGCTACTCTTCATTGTCGTGGGGGCTTCTCACTGTAGGGGCTTCTCGTTGCAAAACACAGGCTCTAGGCAGGCGGGCTTCGGCAGCTGCAGTGAGTGGGCTCTAGAGCTCTGGCTCAGTAGTTGAGGCACACGGTCTTAGTTGCTCTGAGGCATGAGAGATCTTGCCGGATCGGGGATTGAACCAATGTCCCGTGATTGCAAGGTGGATTCTTAATCACTGGACCACGAAGGAAGCCCCAAAGTGATCTTTAAAAACCCCAGATTGCATCAGACAGCCCTATGTTTATAGACCTGCCAGTAAGTTCCTGTTTCACTGGAATAAAGTCCTCCCCAGGTGCTAAGACTCTGCCCATCTCGCCTATCTCATCTCGGTCCTGTGCTCCAGCCACTAGGCTTCTGGGGCTTGCCAAATCCATCTCCCCAGGATTCCCAGGCATCTTCTGCCTGGACGCCTCTCTTCCCATGCTTACTAATGGTTGTCTTTCAGTTCTCAGATGAATCAGCTCCTTGTGTAAAAGACCTTACTTGGAGCTAGAACCTAAGTTAAATCTTGCTTGTTCTATTCCATTTCATGATCCTGTCTTCCTTCATCACATGCATCATAATTTGAAATCACTTTAACCTACCATTTTTAAAAGTTCATTTGTTTTTTCTCCCTCTAGGCCAGGGGTTGCAAGCTTAAACGTCTTCAGGCAGCTAATTTAAGTGAGTAATGAGGGCTAGGAGAGGACTGTGGCCAACAAAGGCTAACAGGGTCAGCCCTGCACAGTTACCTACTTTTGATGCAAAAATGTGGGCCCAGTGCTGCCCAGTCATCTGCTGTTTGTTTGGTTTTTTTAAGACATTAGAAATACGAATTTCTATGTAAACACTTCCCATTTAAAAACTGGTAATTAATTTTTCAAATGTCAAGTATATTTTATAGGTTAAAAAGTATCCAAGGGCCACCTTATCTCGGTTCTAGATTATCTTGGCAGAATCCAGGCAGAAGTAAAGATAATTCTGAGGAAAACATCTGAAAATGGAGAGAGACATTTTCCTCCTGACATCCTCTGAGCACCTGGATCTAGCCATACCTGATATCAGCCTTGTCCCCAAGCTTACCAGTATGTGAATCATTAAGTTTCCATTTTCTCTAAGCCAGCTTGGGTTAAGTTTTTTACCCTTGCAATCAAAAGAGGCCTTGACAGAGTCTCTAGAACTTGAACTGTATTGAAAGTGTCTGTCCTTCTGCTCTGTCTACAATCCAAAATCAGGCTGGCTGCATGCCTCTTTCTGCATTTAACTGAAGCATTTGGGCAGAATGAAGACCATGATGTTAGGGATCCCGGGGAAAGCAAGGGCTTGGTCAGGTACTCACTGTAAGAAGGGATTCCATAGGCTTGTGCTGGAGGTGGGTAAGCCGTGTAGGGGGTAGCTTGCTGGATCCCGGCACTGTACTGTGTCTGGCCGTAGGCTGCCATGGCCGAGGCAGGCTGACCGGGTGGGACACGCAGGCAAGGTCTGCGTGGAAGAAACAAGATTAAATCTCCAAGCCCAACCTAGCACATCCCTCCCCCCTGGTATCACCACCACCACCATTTCCCTTCAGGTGATTATTTTTATTTTTTTGGCCTTGCAGCTTTTGGGATCTTACTTCCCCAACCGGGAACTCTGGTCCCAGCAATGAAAGTACTAGTTCCTAGTCCCTGGACCACCATGTACTCTTTCCAGGAAAGAGACAACTTACATGTTCATCAAGTTCTATTTCATTTTCCTTTCCTGGACACCAGGAAAATTACACTTCCTGTGTCCTTTGCAGTCAGATTCAACCATGTGACTGGATTCTGCTCAACACAATGGTTTAGCCAATAAAACCGTCTCCTCAAAACCCTGCTGCCCTCTCTCCTCTTTCAGCAGCAACTGTGGAGGGTACCAGCTGAGAGGACGGAACCAGCAGGGTTACACCCTGGAGCCCCAAGTCAGCCTGTGGAGGAGAGCTGCCTTGGAGAGGTCCATGCGATCCCTGGGTTTTATTTAAGAAACAAACCTTTGTTGTGTTAATCCACTGGGACCCGGGTTTATTGATTACTACAGTACAGCCCATTCCACTGTGACTATCTACCCTTATTTAGACACATTCCCAACTGATACAGCTTTGACAGGATTGCCAGTCAAGATGCCCTGCTCTGGGCCATGGGGTGGGCACAGGGTGCCAGATTATCCAATCAGATTCTATTCTGGGAATTGAAATCCTGGGCTGAATAATTCATTCCAACAACCACATTCTGAAAAGAGTATTTTTATTCCCTTCCAATTGTTTGGATCCCAGAAGCGGTGCTATTCTGGGTCTTCCTCAAGACCTGATTATTCCAGTTTTGATCCCATTGTGAGCTACTCCAGATCTTCCAAAAAAATTCCTTTTGGGCTTATATCAGCTGGGGTCTGGGCTTCCCAGGTGGCACTAGCAAAAGAATCTGCCTGCAAATGCAGGAGACGTAAGAGATGTGGGTTCAATCCCTGGGTCGGGAAGATGCCCTGGAGGAGGAAATGGCGATCCTCCCCAGTATTACTGCCTGGAGACTACTATGGACAGGCGAGACTAGGTCCTTGGGGTCACAAAGAGTTGGACATGACTGAGTATCTGAACACAGTTGGGGTCTATTTGTCTTACTTGCAACCAAAGAACACAAATGGACTTCTTACTCCAAGATGAATAATCAGTTCCACGAAGGGCTAGGATTTAAAGGGCCACTGAGGGATTTCCCTGGCGGTCTAGTGGTTACGAATCTGCCTGCAAATGTGGGAGACATGGGTTTGATCTCTGGTCTGGGATGATCCCACATGCCACAGGGCAACAAAGCCCGCATGCCGCAACCACTGGGCCCACGCTCCCTGCATGAGACGCCCACACACTGCAGCTAGAGCAGGCCCCGCGTGCCGCAACCAGAGAAAGGCGATGAAGACCCACTGCAACCCAAAATAAATAATACTAGTAAAAAATCCTAAAAAAGTAAATAAAGGGCTGCTGACCTACGACATCCCTAACACAATGACCGCGAGTAATCACTGAGCTCTGACCACAGGCTAGGAATTGTGTCTCACAGGCCTGACGTGGTCTGCGTCACATCACATACTGATATCAACTCCCTGGGGTAGAGGCCCTGCTAACTCCCATTTTAGGGAAGAGAAAACGGAAGCTCAGGGACCAGAAGTCACGGCTAGAAAGTGGGAAATCCAGAGTCTGAACTTGGAAGTCTGACTCCTGAGCCCACGTGGACTTGTAACCATGGAGCTTCGCTGCTGCTCAGGGACGGGCCCGGGACTGACGCGGTCCTGCAGGCAGCAATTAATAAAGTCAAGGGTAGCTCATTCTAACCGGATGGGGACAAGACAGTGAATCTACGGATGCGATTTCTTTGGCCAGTGCAGTCTTTTTCTTAATTTGGAGTTGCCAATATTTTCCAACCAGGAGAGATTCACACATGAACATACACACTCCCTATTTCCCCCTTCTCTTGCAAAGCAAATGCTTTGGAAAGCCTCGGTCTGCTCTCCTGGGTGCTGTATTCAGCTGGATTTGAGAACGTCTTCTGACTCTCACACTGTCTTCAACAGTCCTTCCTGTGGTAAAAAACACTGACAGTTCTTGGGTCTATGGTACACCAGGCACTGTCCTGATTACTGTATGTGGACTGGCTCATTTAAATCTCATAGCAACTGTGAGAACCCTTGGAGGCAGTTACTATTCCCATCTCCATTTTACAGATAAGAAAACTGAGGCAGAGAGAATGCACACAGATGATCCACAATTTGAACCCTGGTTCCAGAGCCCATGTCCTTAACCACTCCACTAGGACACCCAGGCCCTTTAGGTCAAAAACCCAGACATTAAAGTTCTGTGCAACAAATTATATCTAATCATTCTGACCACGAGTTTATCAGTAGATGGTAATGAGATTCCCAAACCTGTATCTGATTCTATTTTGATGACATTAATATAGTAAAACCTTCTCATTTCCAGTTTCTCCTACATATGAAGCCTAAAGGCATGTATGAGACAGATGCAAAAATTCACAGAATTATAAAAAGACGTTCTCAGCCCCTTTCTTTTTGACAACTTCTGTGCCAAAGGGTCAGGGAATTTGTTCCAAGAGGCATAAGAAAATTGCTTGTTTTGTAAATTGTCCCAAGATGCATAAGAATGTCGCTTGAACTGGAGACTCCAGATCCAGTATTGGAAGGTGTTTCATCAGTCAAGACTCCCACTCTATGAGGTGCCTGGAAACACATCCAGAGCATGGGACTTAGCACTGAGCAGAGAATTTTATTTGAAAATGTTACCAATTTACACCTGTCTGGAAGTAGAAAGTGGAAATCTGAGATGATCAATTCTTGCTTCCCATCAAAACCGATGTGAATTTCTTGGAATAAACTGGGGCTCGAATGAAAAGCCAGAGAGAGGACGAGGAAGCTCTCTAACCCCAAGGCCATAAAACAAGCCAGGTAGATTTAACAGACCTCAGTTGCTACTGACAACCCGCAAAACATCTTCTGGAGGGAAAGGAAGGCTGAGAAAATGTGCTCCTTACAAATAGCTTCTCTGGGGTCGTCCGGGGACGAGAATATCCAGCTATGGAGGAGGTGAGCATTCAGAGGAGGGCCATGCTGACTGTCTTGCCAAGCCTGGGGCTTCTCACACTGCGGGGCGCAGACAAGGCGGCTCCCCAATTGCCCTGGGTAAGCCCCGTCCATCACCAGACTCCCACTGACCCCTGGATGCAGCTCTGGTGGAACATTTGTACTGTTCAACATATTGAGACCTCTGATCTACTGGTCCATTTCCTACTAGCCTGGAAGCTCTCTGAGGGCAGGGGCTGTGTCTCACTGATCTTGCGAGTCTCCAGAGCTCCTAGGAGATTTGGTTATCGAGCAGTGTTGGGTGAATGTTTGAGCAGGAAGAAGGGAAGAAGGAGGGGGGAGGAGGGTAAAAGATCGAGATGGGTAAAGAGAGAAAGATGGGGCGATAGGAAGGAAGAGGAGAGAGAGAAGAGAGACAGGAAAGGAAGGAAGGAAAAACAGAGAGGGAGAGATAGAGAAGCAAGAAGGGAGACAGGAACAGAGAAAGTCTATGACAGGAAAGGACAGGAAGGAAAGGAAGAAAAGTGAAAAAAAGGAAGAAAGAAGAAAACAACACCCAACACTCTCAGAACAGTCTATTCCAGACCCCATTCTGAGTGCCTTTTATGTGAAACAGACATCAGCATTGTCCCCATTTTCCAGATGGGGAGACTGAGGCCTGGGGAAGTGGGGGTCATTTGTTCAAGGTTGCTCAACCAGTAAGAGCATCACTGGGATTCCTCTCCAGGGAGTCTGGCTCCAGCACCTCTGCCTCCAAGGAGAAAAGGGAGAGAGAGTGAGAGGAAGCTAAGGCAAGGGTACTCACCTTGCGAAGAGCTGGGACACACTCGGAGCTGATGTGGTGATGCCTGGAGGGGAAAAAAACATTTGAAGGGCTTGAGCTGGCAGAGGGATGGTTCCCAGAAGCTGTGACTTCAGATGCCAGGTTGAGGGGGAAGAAATGCACGGAGTTGCTGTCAGGGACTTTCTCAAGCACACAAGCTTATCCAAGCCACACCAATGTAGCACTTTCCTTCTTGAAAAACCTTCTCCGGGTGTGCTCTGTCTCCAAGTACTAACTGAAGGACTGTGTATATACAATCTATAGCATCTTGAAACATCAGGGTGGAATCCATCCCCCACCCATTGTACAGACGGAGAAACAGAGGCCAAAGAGACAGTAAGAATGTGCTTGAGCCAGGCCCATGACCAGATGGCAGCTGGCACCATTTCCACTCCTGGATGGAGACCCACTCTTTTCCTTGCTTTAAAGGCAACCCCAGCAACCCAGAAAGGCAGATACCGGTTGGCTTTGGCTATCCGACACCCATTTGCCTTTCTTCTGAGGACATCACATTGATATTCCTCCTCTCCCTCCCCAGTTTCAGTCCATGGGGTTCAGGTGGGGCTGGCTCCAGCACTTAGGGGAGACACATCTTGGATTGTCTCTGAGGCTCCAACTAGAGTGTGGGGAGGGAGATGGAAGATGCCTGAGGTCCTGGTACAAGGGCTGTGTCCCTGGGCACTCAGCCTCCAACCATGGTTGGGAGGGAATGATCAGGAGATGATGAAAAGCTGATATAATTTTGCTGGGAGAGATGTTGCCAAGAGCATCATTTTAAACACCATTAGTTCACGGGGGATGATTTTGTGCTGTGTCATCTTAAAAACAACACAATGTCCTCAGCGTGGAGCCCCGGCAAGTTCTAGATGACATGTTGATTGATTGTACCAACCTGCCAATCACACTCCCTGGTCTGCAGGGCAGGGGCAGGGGTGTCCCTGTGCCTCCCGAGAAACATTCCACGCCCTCCTGAGCTCTGAGCCACTTTGTAAACCAACCTGCAATCCCAGCTGTACCTCTGAGTCAGCACTGAGACTTTGGGCAGATCACCTACAGTCTCCGGGGCTCAGGGCACTCTCCTGTGAAATGGGGGAAAAC